GGGATTAAAGTAATATCAAGTCTTTATAAGGGGCTCCAGAGTATCAAAATAGTAGATAGCTCATACATCAAACAAAAATGGGAAAAGGAGAGTAATAAGTGCATCCCAGGGGAAGTATGGACTAAATATTGTGAATTTCAATGGAGGATATCGAGCTCACTTTTATGGAGAACATTTAGCTGGAAGACTCTTTGTAGATATTTTATTACCCCTGCTCAATCATTTCATTATTCAGGAACCTCCAGCTGTTGGAGGAATTGCGGTTCTCAGGATGCAAATCACTATCACGTGTTTTGGGACTGTCCAAAGGTACACTCTTTTTGGCGTAAGATTCATTTCGAATTAGAAATCATATTCGAGACAAAAATACCTTTCAACTGGGACGAACTTTTTTTTGGACTCCTATCTTCAACAAGCACAAACATTACAACTAAGAAACTGTTTGGAATACTGAGTGCAGCAGCTAGGAAAGCAGTCACAAAGAAATGGCTTAAACCAGATACCCCATCTATTAAGGAGTGGTATGATATTATATATGAAATATATGTAATGGAGAGAATTACTTTCTCTTTGAGGCTCCAGGACAGTAAATTTGAGGAAATTTGGAAGAAATGGAAAATGTATACTTCCCCGAGACGCCCGACCTATGTTTAAACAAAAAAAAGAAGCCTGTCAAGCATCTAGCTTGTTTTTCTGTTTTTTATTTTTATTTTTATTTTTTTCTTTCCTTTTTTGTAATTCTATAAGACACCCCATGTTCGGTTCTAATTAATGTTGTAACACGATATGTATTGATATGATATAAAAGGAACAAAAGAAAAAAAAAAAAAGGATCAGACTGTAAAAGAATGTAACCCGCAATGACAGTATGTTTGACATGTGGTGATCCTAAATAAAGAGAAAATAGCAAAAAAAAAAAAAGATCATTCTCCAGGGGAAAAAAAAAAAAACGGTGGCTTTGAGCTTTCTTGTACAGAACCTCTGTGTTCAAGGTTGTCTAGAACCTTCTGCAGATGGCCGACCTGTGAGTTATCGGCGATCCAGACCAGTACTGGAGCATCCACCTGCATGTCCAGCGGCATATTCCTGAGCAGGGCAGTTTGCATTGTGTTGAAAGCACTGGAAATGTCAAAGGCCAGCTCATGTTTGCAAATGAGAACTGGTTCTCAAACATTTTTACCTGGTAAAATAAAGGTCAAATAAATAAAATAAAAGAACATGACTGTCACAGTGCTGCCCACCTCTTCCAAGTGAGTATAAAGTCCGTGCTGCAGGAAGATGATGGCGTCGTCCACTCCAATGTGAGGCTGGTACACAGCCTACAGGAGTCCAGTTATTGCTCAGCTATTGAGCGGAGGGGCTTTAGGACCAGCCTCTTCAGTGACTTCATGACATGTGAAGTCTAAGTCACCAGTTGGTAGTCACTGAGCGTGTTCAGGAGCTTCTTCTTGGGCACAGGAACCAGGCATGATGTCTTCCACAGAGCAGGGATGATCATGAAGCTTGTGTTGAAAATGTACTGGAAAAGCTGCGCTAAGCTCAGTCGGACATCCTTTTAGCAGTCTGGGGGTCGGGCAGCCTGGACTTGCTGCCTTGGCTGGATGGAGTCTATGCTCCTCAGATCCTCAGCAGTGACCATGAACGTAACGTTACAGAGCCCTGAAGGCGTCATGAGAGTGGTTGAGGAAAGATAGTGGGATGGTGATGCAGGGGCAGAGAGGTGAATGGAGGGTTGTTGATGTGGACGATGGTGAGATGGTTCCAGGTGTGAGGGGTGGGTGGAGGTGAATGGACAGTAGAGGAACTGACGTAGTTGTTGAAAACAGACTGACGTAAAGACGTCCAGAGGAGGAAGTCATAGGGAAGGGTGGGCAGAAGCCACAGCATCAAACCATTTGAAGAACATGTTTAACTTGTTGGCCTCACCAGGTCTCCCTTCATCTGGTTACTCCTTCCTCCGTGGCCATAGTTGGGTTTCGGGCTGCTCCACACCTCACTTACTGCTTTCTGCTGGAGTTTTTTTTCCAGCTTCCTGCTGTAGCTCTCCTTGCCCTCAGTAATGTTATCTTCTAGCTCCTTCTGTACCTTCTCAGTAAGGCCACCTTGTTTCTGTTTGTTGTTGCTTCGATGTCTTTACTCACCCAGGATGTGTTACTGGGAAACAGCTCACTGTCTGTCATGCAGTCTGGAACATTCCAGTCTGTCACCTCAGAATCAGCGTCCAGTGACCACCTCTGGACCATTCTGGTGATCGCTGGTTTGGGCTTGAGATGGACCCAGATGTGATCTGATGTGCTCATGGGAGGGAGAGCTGTGGACCCGTATGCTTCCTTCACTTTAATATTCAGCATGTCAAGTGTTTTGTTGTCACTGATCCTGCAGTGAACAAACAGTTTGATGGTAGGCAGAGTTGATGTCAAGCTGATGGTTAAAACCCCGGGATGGGGCTGCAGGCACTGTGGGAGGTGTCTGTAATCCTGCAGTGACAGAGATGATGATGTGGGAGGAAATCAAGCCACTATCACGATGGTCTGACAAACAAAATGAAGGGATACGTATCAGAACCGGCTCAATGTCTGGGCTGCACACACCTTCTTTCATGGTAACGTGTCCAGGGTTGGACCACATCCCCCCTCTCCTAGAAAAGGAAACACAAAAGACATGGCAGAAGGAAACCACATGACAAGTGATCGTATGAAGAAAAACCAGGAAGCAAAACTCCAACAATCGCCCTAAACCATGACAACTACACGGTCAGAGAAGACAGCAGTAATTATCTGTAAGTCAGATGCTCGTGTGATGAGCAACACAGAACAGTTTCAGGAATTTCAGTTAAACTTTTTTGTTATTTTATTTAAAACTGAAACAAAACAAAACCCACTAAACAAAGAATGTGTGACTGGACCACAGCTTGCTTTTGTCTTTCTGCAGGTTTGTAGCTTTCCTGTGTTTGCTGTTCTTGCAGGTCCTGACTACATACGGCAGAAGTATAATGAGCCACTGGAGCTGAAGGAAGTTCCTGTAGAGGAGAAAAAGGAGAAATCTCCATCAGGGAGCCCTCATTTCTACCGCAAAGGCACCACACCCACCCAGTCTCCATCTCAGAGCCCCAGTTCCAGCCCTACTCCTTCACCCACTGCTCTTAAAAAGAGTTTTTTCAGCAGTAAAACTCCTGCAGCTGTAGCTGCTGCAAAGCCTGCTGGGAAAGAGAACAAAACCATCACGGCTGAATCCTTGACAGCAGGTAAGCAACCTGGGTTTTTGTTCACCTCACCACCACCATGCCTGTCTTATTGGACTTCCTACATCAGCAACGAATGTCATGAGTTGATAGTTTCATCACTGACGGTATCAACACATTTACATGTACGGTACCAGTAAGGGCACGTCTACTGGTTTACATGGTTCTCATGATGTTTACCATCTACAGTGTAGACCAATGCCGAATGCATTGAAATCATGAAATAACACATCATCCATCCATCCATGCATCCATCATCTCGACACCTTCATCCTCACTGGGGTCATGGGGGGCAGAGTCTATCCCAGCTGACTCAGGATGAAGGCAGGTTCACCTGGACAGGGAACCAGTCCATAACACATCATGATTTATGTAAAGAGTGAGAACAAAGGACATTTCGTTTCTACATTCTTCTTGCCACCATTAGCAGAGCTTTGTCTGGTCTTCCTGTGCTCAGGAAGCTTCTTGATGTTGTCCTACAGCCCTGCGGGAGCTCACACCCTGCTAAGCACTCATCGGTTTCCTTTTCTTTCACTCTGTGGTTCAGCTCATTCTAAACCTTCTCAGTTGGGTGTAGGTGGCTAACTAAAGAGGCCAGGTCATCTGCTGCAGCACCCGTAACTGTAGATGTGGTTCCGACAGCCCGTACAGTGCTGGAGGTGTGTTATGGCTCATTGTCCTGTTAGAAAACAATGATCGTCTATGTTCAAACCGGATTGTGTCGTGTTTCACTGCAAAGTCTCCGCAGTGCTGTTTCAGAGGGCTTTGGCTGCACCAGGGGGAACGTTTGTTTTGGGGGAACGTTTGCATGCAGTGAGGGGTGTGGGTGTGCATCTGGCCCAGGTCAGCTCCACTGGCTCTGAGAACACTTGGAGAACTGGTGGTCTCAGGTTCTCAGGTTATTTTCTCTGAGAACATGACAACATGACACATGCATTGTGCTTTGCTAACGGGAAGCTTGACAGGTTGCAGTTCTGAAGGCTGGTGTTTAGTTCATGCACTCGTAGTCTTCAGTTACGTAGCTGCTCGTCTGACTCTGTGGTTCTAAACCTGCCGCTGGCCGATCGCTGCAGTCAGTACTCTGCTCCAGGTCGCTGTCCGCCACACTAAAGTTTACAGTGAGCAGAACATTTTGCAGAGGATTTGGACTGCTCAGTAAGGCAGCCCTGCTATCATCATGTTAGTCCCAGTGCTCATCAGCACTAAGGTCACTGTTCTGAGATAAGCTGACTCCTCTTAGCCCTGTCCACGACGGCTGTGATTGGTGTGAATGCAGCTAAGACAGAGTGTGTTTTCCCTTGTAGCAGAACAACAGTGATGCAGCCTGGGCCTTAGGTTCTAATGGCAGTCCTGGCTCAGTGAGACTACACAGATGCTAGCTCTGGCTAACACCATCACTTTCTTGTTTGCCAAGTTGGGTTAAGCCAGTAGACAGTGCAGACTGTTGCTTCTCCTTTGGAAAGCTCCCAGAGAAACTCCTCTCCAGCTGTGTTTCCAGTCTGTGTTCTACATGAACAATGCAGTTGTTGTAACGTGACTTCTCTGAACTTGGTGCTTTCCCCGGCACTGGTCCGGCCGGCAGAGCTTAAAGGCTGATGGACACCACTGTCCTCGTGAGTAGGGATGGGTGCGGATCAATAACCAACGTTAATGGTTCTGCTATCGGTACTATAGAAAGCAATGTAGTGTCGTACGCTCTACCACGTCACCATAACCAATGTGTGTGTGACGCATCTTTGGTTTTAAAATCCAAAACTGAGTTGTTGGATCTGGTGTGGAGGATTAGGGTTATGATGATGGAAGAGGGAGGTTCACGTTTCTCAGTATGACTGCACTTCACTACAGCTAATGAACTAAATATCTGTTCCCCCGAGCAGTTCCTGCTCTGTGGAATACTTGGATCAGCTACTGATTAGTCAGTCACGGTATTCTGAGGGCATCTGTAGAGTCAGAGTGTAGAGAAGACTGCTGGTTTGTTAGTGAGCTGAATAATGTTTGGCAGCACCAGTACCAGTAGCAGTCCCACTGCTGGCCCAGTCAAAATACTCAATACACTGTGTTGGTTCGTTGGTTAGCTCTTTTCTTTCTTTCTTCTACTCAACAGGCATAACAAAGGCAGCATCAAAACTTTCTCTCAGACAGGATGTGAGGCAGCAGGAAGCTCCTCCAGCAGTAAAACCAGCTGTTCCCACAGCAGTCAGCAGCTACCCCAGCAATGGACAGATTCACTCCCAGTACCATGGTTACTATGTCAAGGCAGACGATAAGGCTTCACCACCTGAAGAACCAGCTGGTGTGGAGGACGACCTTTACCCATCAAGCCTGGCACACTTGCCACCACCTGCCAAACTGATTCGGGCACCAGCACCATCCCCGGCGGCTAGTAGCCCGTTACCAGTTCCACCAAAAGAGACCACCAAAGCACCAGATCCCCAGAAGCCAAAGAAAATGGAATCAACCAAACCAAAGAGCCTCCTAGAAACCAAGAAAGCTAGTATAGAAGTGGCTCCTGATACTATAGAGGAAGAGTTGGTGAGTTACCACATATTAGATGTTTCGGTGTATTCATGTGCAGTTTGCTGTTCTTTGACAGGAATAAAAACCCAAATGAAGTCCCGACTGTGTTAATGCCAGCTGTCTCAAGCTTGTGTAGGTCAGGGAGGCTATGAGTTCACTGATGATGTGGCACATTGAAATCATCTAGAATAGTTTCTCATTCACAATAGAACTTCGATATTTCGACAACCCAACAGTACGTTACTGCCAGGCTCTTCCAGTTGAGTCAGTCTTCACAACACATGCTGTAGAAATGTCGAAATGATGAAAAACATGTTTAGTCTCGTATTTTTTATGGTTTTTTTTTTTATTGTTTTGGTTTTAAAAATAGTTTTCTGAGTTACAGTATCCATCCATTAGCTGGTCTTGGGGAAACTGGAGCTGTCTCTCTGAGAAGTCACAGTGGGCTTTAATCAAGACAGCACAGGGAATGGATCAACATACACTTGAGTAAATCACATGTTTCTGACGTCTGTAAAAGAATGTTAATGTGACATAATGTTAAAAACATACACTGATCAGCCTCAACATTAAAACCACCTGCCTAATGTTATGGAGGTCCCCATGTACCACCAGAACAGCTCTGAGCTCTGGAGGCCTCGACTCCACAGCCCTGTGAAGGTGTCCTGTGGTACCAGACACCAAGACATTAGCAGAAAACCTTCCAAGTCCTGGAGGTTGCAGTTTGGGACCTTAATGAATGGGACCAGTTGTTCCAGGACATCCCACAGATGCTCCATTGGCGTGAGATCTGAGGAGTCTCAACTCTTTTTGTCAAACTGTTGCTGTGTGGCAGGGAGCACTGTTCTGCTGCCGTCAGTGAATACTACTCCCATGTGGTCTGTAACAGTGTTAGGTAGCTGATGCATCTCAAAGCAGCATCCATATGAATACCAGGACCCAAGATTTCCCACCAGAACATTTGCCATAGCATCACGCTACCTCTGCGGGACTGCCCTCTTCCTACAGGGCCATAGCTGCAATGCACCACATGTCCTGGTGTCTTTCTATGAAAGCAGCGTTAAGGTTCCAGCTCGTTGTGCTACAGTAGCTCTTATGTAGGACTGAACCACACAGGCCAGTCTTCGCTTCTCAAGCACAAGAATGAACCTGGGTGCCCATGACCCTGTTGTTCTACTTTGGACAACTTTTACTAGACGCTGCCCACTGCAGGCTGGACCTCTCCACAAGATCTGATGTTCTGAAGATGCTCCAACCCACTGGTGTTTACATCACAGTGTTGTCCTCGATCCTTCCAGTGCACACTGCTCCTGCCTCCAACACGTTCGCTTCAAGAACTGGATGTTTGCTGCTGTTGAATGCTCCAGCCCTCTCACTGGTTTTAATGTTGTGGCAGATTGTCTGTTTGTTGTTGTTAATGCTTAGAAAAGATTACGAGCAACCACATGCAGTGCAGGGTTAATAGGTTGGGAGTCCGAGGCAGTGTTGTTGAATGTTGTTCAGAACTTTAACTTATCCATTCACGTAATATTTTAGTTTTTCTGTTTACAGTTCTTGCAAACAAAAATGCAGTTTGAACTACAATAGATTGTAAATCTAACTTCATGAAACACAAATGTGTTTTTAGAAAGCCCTCTGTTCTCACTGGAAGATGAAGCTGTACACATCAAACAGAAACCGATAGCTGCCCCCGCTCAGAACACTAAACCCGAACCCACACGGTCTGTCAGGGCTTTAGAGTTTTTGTAAGTGGGGCTGGAGGACATAAGGAAGATGTCTGGCCTGGCACTATTTTAGTCTAATTATCTGTAATGGCTCCATAGCTGTTCACTGATGTTGGTCATGGTGAGCTGCTGGTAAGCCACATCTGATTCCACTGACCTGGACATCAGACCAAGGACTCCTAATGACACTGTTGACAACTGTGTACTTTAGCTGTCTCTGCTAATGTTAGCTCCAAAGACTGGCGTGACTTCTAAGATGATCAGCCTAAAATAATGATTTGATAAATGACCGTCTCCTGTGTGCCAACTGTTGGTTGTTAACAACCAGACTAGCTGCTAGCTGAAAATAACGTCACACAATCAGTACATTAGAAGATTTGTCTCGAGAAAGACAAAAACCACTCCTATCTACCCTCCAAAATCTCATTCAGGCTTTGGTGCTGTTCTGTCTACCTACAGACTGGACCCCGTCCAGATGATAGACTGCTAGACTAGACTGCCATCAGCATTTCAGCAGCTTGCTCTGACAGCCAGTTGGTTGAGGGCGACTAGATGGAGTCTGTTAGAGCTGATCTGTGATCTGTGTGGCATGTGCAGTAACATCAACCTTTCTTGTGTCTCCACAGGGCCCTAACTCTATCTTGGTGGCTCTTGTGATGCTGTTGAATGTTGGTCTAGCGATCATATTTGTCCATTTTCTCACTTGACCAAATCTGACCTCAGGTAAGCATTTCTAACGACCTCCACTTCCTCAGAGGATCAGCCTGTCACAGCTGGAACAGTGTTGTTGTTGAGTTATGATTCACACAGTGTTGTGTAGGTCACTGAACTCACATCCACATCATTTCTTTTTCTTTGTTTTCCAATTTATATGTGTAATATATTCAAAGCCACACTGCTGACACCACGAGTGTCTCCTGAAGCATCTATGCTGAGGTTTCAGAGCAGTGTGGTTCTCCTCTGAGGGACTCTTCCTGACTAACCTGCACGAAGTCTGGCTGCAGCTTATCATCCCACAGTAGGAACTAACTCAGACCTCACTGAGACCCAACAGGGACATCTGTCCATCCTAAAGGCTCAGTGTCCATCAGCTAGCCTGGCTTGGTTGTCTTGCTCTGAACCTGGGCTGAATGTGGGTTAGTAGTTGGTCAGAGCAGAGTCTGTCTCTGCTGGAGAATCAGTCTTTTCCCTCTAGTGAACCTGCAGTGCAGCGATGATCTAATCTGTTGGGTCTCAGTGAACAATTTCATTTATTAATCATTTCTAACTACTTCCATTTTGTAGCTTTTATAGTGTAGGGAGCCTCTGAAATAAATGATACCAGCTGATCGTCTTCCTGTTTGCCCCTGAATTACTGGAACGCTTTTATTGTGGAAGGTCTGTGTAGCACCATTCACTGGTGGTTGCTTCATAGCAAACAAAAACTACTCAGTACACATGACAGCAAATTAAAACTGGGGCGAGCAAGAACCCAGGAGGCTTCTCACTGAACACAGACTTCCACCATCAGCAACGAGGCTGCTGCCGCCCTGCAGAACCTCTTCATGTGTTTAAGGATCATATCTGGCTGTTTATCTCAGAGGTTCATGTCTTCAGACTGTGTTTCACTTTGTATGAGAAGACAACAGACGAGAGGTTTTCAGGGTGTCGACTGACCGACGTGTTGAGCAAACGTAACGCCGTCTCAGGTGTCCGTCCCAAACATGGTCAGGACAGAGTTCTAGTGTTACTGCGAACCTGACGGCAAGGAGCAGCAGCCTCAGCGGAGAAAGTTATGAAAGGTCCCTGTTAACATCATCTGTAACCTTCATGTGACTCAAACCAATGTTGGAAAACTATTGTTCACAACAGCTTTGGTAATATTTTTTAAAAACAAGATTTAAAAGTTTTTGGTTCCAGTTTGTTGTTGTTTTTGAATCCCAGCTCTCTCCTGTGTCTGTGTTCATGTTCAACAGTTCGTCATTGCTTCGTTATGTCTGTAGTTGCATCATGGCTTAATGAGAGCGTTCTCCTCCTAATCCCCGTTTATCTGACCCCACAGTGGACTCGTCCAAATTAGTTGCCGGAGCCGCTAACTCTAAATCCACCAAAGGGGCCTTTTAAAAAGTGGTACCAGACAGAACAGCAGACACGGGCAGAACGGAGGACTGGAAATAGCCAAGTGGAGGAGGAGGAGGAGGAGGAGGAGGATTGCATGGAGGAGCGAGAGGGGGAAAAGGCAGAGAGAGGGAAAGATGAAACCACCAGCGCCCTGGATGGACTTAATGACTGAGTCCAGCCCGATTGGACTGGCGATGATTTGTGACTCCACTCAGAGTGCAGTGAAAGCTAAAGCAGCAGTGGCTGGTTGGAAACGGGCCCCTGAGCTCCATCTGTGGATTCTTTATCAAGGTTAGAAGTAAGAGATCAGAGGAGGCCCAGAGAGCTGAAACATGCGAGTGATTGTGAGGCCTGGCATCGACAGTGTGCTGCCTGCCTGGAGCTCCAGCTCCGTCCAACTGTCCAGCATATTTGGAAGTTTTGAAATGCTGCAATAAAAAGTTTGTGCCTTGTCCAGCTGAGTTGAAGCTAATTTGTTTTGTAACTGAATTGAGAGAACCTTCACAGTGCTCGTTAGTAATATACCTAAATACCATCATCATGAGACATCGGCCATCAGACAGATCGGTTCTGCTGCAGAGCTACGACATCAGAGCACATCGTTAGATGATGGTCGACATACATGTTACATACATACTTGTTACATACAACCGTACTTTTGAACTGTAGTGCACTTTAATGAACTGTTTGTCTGTGCTTCTGCAGTTTGTGTGTGTGTGTGTGTGTGTGTGTGTGTGTGTGTGTGTGTGTGTGTGTGCGTGTGTGTGTGTGTGCGCGTGTGCGTGTGTGTGCGTGCGTGCGTGCGTGCGTGCGTGCGTGGTGGACTGGATATGTTCAGAGCTGCACTTTGAGCTGACGGACGCCAGCAGCTGCTTTACCCTTTTGCAGAGTGACGTGTGTGGGTGAGAAGGGCCCAAGCAGGAATGTGAGGCGCTCGCTCGGTTCTCCGTGTGCCAGGTTCTGGGAGAGGGATTCTATTTCTATCAGTCTGTTTATTGATCTGCTCATATCTGTTTTTAACGGTTTCCTTGAGTCTCACCTGTTTTATGAAAATTAAACAATCAAAACGTTTTACTGAAAAAGCAGCTGAAGTTGCATTTGGAGAACTTTGCTAGCTACTGTCTGGTTTAGATAGATTTCATTTAGGAACTAAATTCCTGTTTTAATGAATGAATGAAAGATGAACTGACAAGTGTCTGCCTCTCCCAGTGCTCAGCATGAAGTGTGTGTATATTCCCACTGTGTGCATTACTTGAGCTTAATTTAAAACTACGATGCTGTTAAAGAACGTCTTGTTTACAAGGATGATAGAGAATGACAGCAGCACATTACTGTGTACAGACATTTTTAATGGACAGATGAATCTCAGCCCAGTTGAAGACATTTCGATGGCTCCCTGGTTCTGTACAGAACCGGGTTCACTGTCAGATCCCTCCTGGCTCTCTGCTGTAACACGTTCAGGAGCTTAGCAGCAGGTTGATGCTGGCTGTTGTAAAGAACAACTGTCTTAAAATCAGATGGAGTTAAATGTAATTTTCTTAAATTCCGCCACATGAGTGTTGCTACGAGTAAGGAGGGTGTGATGTCTCCTATCAGCTGTTACTTCCTGTTGACAGGTGCAGCTGATTCTACGAGCAGATCAGAAACGTGGAGGCAGCAGCGTGGTTCACACTAATGCTGGACCTTGTGGTACCGACTGTAGTGCTGCAGAGGCAGCTGTGGCTAAATGCTAGCATCTGACAGCAGCTGTTGTAGCAGCTAGCCCAGCGGCTCACAAGAAAACCTGCCAAAACCTTCACGCTGATGGTGTATTTGCTCTTGTCCCCCTTCCTTTGGTCCGGCTCTCATCATGCAGGCTTGGTAACACGGTGCAGGAATGACCATGAGAGCAGAAACGTTCCTGGACTGGGACAGAGGAAACAAGATGAGCCTCATCATGCTAGAATGATTGTAGTTGAAATCCTCAGAACCATGACAGTGATCATAGCTTCCCTGCTGCAGAACGTTAGCAGTGAAGTGTTCGGGCGGTGTAGTAACATCAGTGAGTCCATTTCACCCAGACATGGAGCAGAAGGTGTAGAACGTAGACACACAGCAGACTCAGACTGTGGTGCAGTGGCCGGTGGAGCTTTAAGAATGAAAAGGTATCATCAGGTAGTCCAGCAAGGAGACGCACACAAGAGAAAATGAGCAGAACTAAACAATCTAAATGCATGACGGTTAACTGCACCGAGGGTATCTGTTGCTCTGGTGGAGCAGAACTCAGAACTTTTCCAATCTGTCGTCTGCTTTGGTCTGAACCAGGCCCATGGAGGCTTGGTAGAGAAGCAGAGTACTGCCCTTTACAAGCCTCATAAGAACCAAAGCCAAAAGCTTAAAGATTAAGCCGTAAAGAGAACTCAGACCTTCTTCAACAAGGTGTTATGTTGCTCTTTAAACACCATCACACCAACAGCAGGACCACCATGTACTGGCTTCATGTGGACTCTGAAGGTGTCTGTAGATGTACCGACACACACAAACGGCTTCCATGTACAACAAAAAATGTACAACTGCTGACTATTTCAGTCCATGAAGAATGTTTCTGTATTTTTACGTTTAAGATGCTTTTGTTGAAGGTCCTCAGCTGATGCTTTTATTTCGGGCCTTCAGGCTGAGCTGTGTCGTACCGTTCTGATGTGAATCTGCTGCACTGTGCTGTTGCTGATGAGTTGCAGATGGTATTCTTATATTTTCAATGATCATGCAGCTTCAACAGAGATTCATTTGGAGCCTTTGCCACGTTGAACGGTCACCATAGAAGAAGATATGGAAAGTTTGAACTTAAATTGTTTGTTTTGCTTTTACAACGTAGAAACCTGTGATCTGGAATATGTATGAATGTGTTCATTTATTAATGCGAAAACGTGGTTTTTGCAGCTGTAACCAATCATTTGTCTGGTGATGGTCCCATAGAAGACAGTTTTAACAGCTGATTACCGGCATGACAGCAGCTCTGTAGCGAAGGTCTCCTGAATCTTCTGTGTGTGAGACCACCAGGTCAGAACTCTTAGTCGTGGCTGATCAACTTTTTATGAGCTCACAATATTTTCCCTTTTTTGCAGGAAACTTTTTGGAAAATATTTATGCACAAGAATGTGACAGAGCAGATGTTTGGTTTGTTCTGTAACATCCTGAACATGTGTCTGAGTGGAATCCCGTCAGGTGTACGAGTCCGAGGCCTGCACTGGACGAGCAGCAGCATTTTGATGTTACATCATCTCTACTTTAAATTCACGGCTGGAGCAGAGAAACTGTCTCTTTTAAATGCCGTGTGCCCAAACATGTGATTAAGCAGTCATTTGATCAGATCGTCCTCATTGTCCTCACACACCTGCAGGAAGAAACCCTCTCTGTTCAATATCAGCAGTTCTTCAACAGTTTCAGACGTGATTTATGTTCTGAACAGCATTTTACTTTTATTTCTTTATTTATTCAAATTTCTGGTGGATGAACGTTATTTAAAATATTTGAAATGAATCATCACGAATGCGCATGACGCCGTGGCCACTGTGTCTGTGTTGGGATGAAGGCGTACAGACGATTCTTTAACTCTTAATGGAAGGAAGAAAAAAGTCTTAAATGTAGTGAACCTGATTGCTGGATTTAGTGCAGCGTGTTGTTGTTGTGGTGTGATGCTGGTGTGTAGTTTAGCATGCACATACTGGCTTGTTGTGTTCCGTTAGGTTGGATGTTGAACTTCTGCATGTGTGTGTATGAAGCTGCATCCGCTGAGAGTCACCGTGAGAGTTTGAACTAAAGTGCAGAAGTAAACAGTGAAAGCTTTTAGTTTTCCATCATCACCTGCAGCTCCATCCCCAGTCAGCCTGGAGGACTGAGCTGACAGTCCATTCTAGATCAACAACATGATCTAATGCCCCATTCCCATTTATGTGATCCCACTGAAGCTCCCTCAGCAGAAACACCACTGATATTCCTCTGTTCCTGGCTAGCTGCTGCTGTCCACTGTCTGCTTGGGAAACAGCACATTCAGCACAACAGAAGGACGCTACTTGCTGTAATACCATCAGGAAACCGAGCCGAACTCTGGCCCGAAAGCAAACAGCTCACCATGTACAGCATCAAATAAAATATCCTCCTCAGAGCGCACCGTAGCACCAAGGATGGGCCAGAGGCACAGGAAGTGGGTTTTTGAAGAACAGAACAAATATAAATAGAATTTAAAGTAAGTGGACTCTGTTATGTCTTCACTGCACTTGAAACAGCCTGAAACTCTTCAAACCCTCGACTGACATTTAGTTCTTCAGAGTAACTCGACAAAGACAGTCGGTGGAACATCACAGAACTGTGGACCCGCCTATGACACATATATATCTGTTACATGGGTGTGTCCATTAAATTGTTGGTAGTGAAGGTGAAACCTTCAGCGAAATGAAACCACAAATATCTGACATGAAGTCTTAGACATCATACAACACCGGACACGTGATAAATACGCTACGTTAAATCAGAGTCTGGAAAACATTGAGGGTTTTTCTCAGCTTCAGGATTTGATCATTTCCAGTAGACGACTTTTCATCAGCGCCGCTCAGATGATCAGGAAGTGACGCTTTAAAGGCTCTTAAATAGTAAATAGCCTGTAAGTAATGCTGTTCGTGGTTTATGCTTAGAAGGCATAATGGTGTGTACAGCTGGAGGCAGTAGATGAGATGTCCACAGCTGCACGGAGGGGAAATCTTATTTCTAATGATTCAGATCAGCTTCACCTGCACTGTGGCGCCTGTATGGGAGGGCAGACGGGAACAATTCTGAGCTGTTGTGTCTCATGAGGATGTCATGGGCCTATAGATTAGATAGAACTTTATTGATCCCTTTGGTGGGGTACCTCAGGGACACTGTTGTAAAAACACTACCCGTCAGGGAATGGAACCCCGGTGGAGATACTGTCCACTAACGAGGAAGTGAACGGAGTCGACATGATGTTAGCAAGCAGAAGGTCTGGTTTCAGATCTCCATCAGACCCCCCTGCTCCTCGTTAAACACCAAGTCACAGTTAGAACTCTGAAGAATGACCACTGTCGACCTCGCAGGCTGCGTTTGTGATGCTGATCTGGAGAACAGAGAGGCAGACAGTCTAAAATACTGTATAAAGCCAATAATGCAGCAGGTCTCCGTCGTTATCTCAGAGCATGAAGTGATGTGCAGCGCTGAGGTGTATGACTCGATAGCATCCAGAACTTCATCCTGTCCTTGTGCTGAGTGTCTGAACCTTCCCCTGAGAAAGGACACAGAAGTGCTCCTTGTAAATCAAACGATGTTCTGCATGAGCTTCTGTTCCTGTGCTGGAGTGTGTTCAGATGAAAGCAGAGACCAGACTGAAATAACGCTTTATTAAGTTTTTAAAGGAAAGCGCCGTATAAGTAGTGAAGGGGGCGGGTTCGAGCTGTGATGTGCAGCTTTTGAGGGAAGTGGGGAAGAGAAGGTGTGAAAGTATCTGAAATGTGTTTGTGGCTAAACTTTAAAATCAAGGCAAGATCATTAATGACTAGTTAGACGGAGTTCCACCTGAGCCTCTCTGTGTAACACCTGTTCTAATAATAATATGATGTTTGTGACAAATGGAGGCCTTGTCTGTGTTTGGAGTGACTCTCATGTGTATTCTGTATTTCTATTCATTCGGTCTCATGTACCATCAGCAGGACAGTCTGATGTGACTGATATCTGAACGAGTAATGTAATGCTCTAGTTCCTCTGTATAGGACTTTAACTCCACTGTATGTCCTCTGAGGTTTTGAACACATTTTCATGGCCTGACAGTGTTCATGAGTGTATATTGAATATTATATCAGTTTGACTCTTGCAGGTGATGAAGCGCCTTCACTGTTTTGTTCTCTTTGTTTTTCTTCCTCATATGTTTCAAAGCAGATAAATTAAAGTGGGTTCTTGTTTTACTCCATGCGTTTGTCTACTCATGCCTTTGTTTTCAAGTTCACAGCCACCATGTGCCACCACATCACTGCTCTTATCACTTTGGTAATAAATGAATTTTCATTGCACTAGTTTTCATCTGGTGGAAACGTGGGCCTTTCTCCGTTGCTGCGGTGGATCAACCCCAGCACACGGTGTTCTTTTAGAGATGCTCTTACTCAAAAGTGTGAAAGTTGGCTTGGCTCTCCTCTGACCAAAATAGTCCTGATGGCTGACAGCTGCTGGCCTGCCTGGAGACTGTGGCACAACACTGAAGGCTTCACAAGGTGGGGTGTCCACCCAGAAAGTGGACATTATTCTGATGATGATTAGTTTGTTCCATGGTGAGTGCTCGGACACTGATTCAGTTCATCCTGAGCAAGTTGTGCAAACCACTGAAGTGTTTGAGGGAAAACACAAGATTTTTAACTATTCCTCAAGGAAGAAATCCCAGCGTGTTCTAAATGTGATAATCTGACTTTATTTATGACTGTGCCTGTCCATTTGGCCAGGTTCTCCACTTTGTGTGAGCGAAGGTGTTCTTGTTTAGCATGAGTCAGTAAAGACTTATTTTTAGCCAGGGTGTCAGATCTCCTCAGGGTTCCACTGTATTCTAAAGCCCCGGACATCTCTTCAACAGTAACCTAACTTCCCAGATGTAGGTTGCTTGTGAAAGCCTGCCACTGACCAGTCATCTCGGTTGGCGTTCTCCTGGTTCCACTAGCTGAATGTTCATCACCAGCTTCACCTACCAACCTGGACCATGCAGTCACACAGCTCTGCTAGTTCTTTGTGATGGATTATCTATTTCAATCCCAGTTCTAGTCTCCATGAATGTAAATGTTCCTCCACAACAATTTCCACCTTCACTATTTGAAGGAAGACCGAAGCCCCACCCATGACAGCTGTGATTGGTTTAGAGAAATACAAACATGTCAGAGCATTGTTTCCTCTACAGCAGAATGATAGTGAGCTGAAACCAGACCATGATCCATCCATCCATCATCTCTCCACCTTAATCCTCACTAGGGTCATGGGGGGCTGGAGTCTATCCCAGCTGACTCAGAGTGAAGGCAGGTTCACCTGGACAGGTAACCAGTCTATCACAGGGCTACACTTAGAGACAGACAACCAAGCACACTCACATTCACACCTACGGACAATTTAGAATCACCAATTAACCTCAGCATGTTTCTGGACTGTGGGAGGAAGCCGGAGAACCCGGAGAGAACCCACGCTGCACGGGGAGAACATGGAGACTCCACGCAGGGAGTCCTATCAGGGACGTGAACCAGGGATCTTCTAACTACCAAGCCACCGTGCAGCCCACCACACCATTATGTTCTTCACAATAAACCGGCAAAGCAAGACTAAAAACTGGACTTTTAAAAGCTTGAATTTGTTTTTCCATCATGTTGCTGGATTATTGAGAGATCAGTCTATTCTGGATGAAAAAGCCCCCTGCAAGTAAAAACCAGCTTTTAATCATGTAAACATGTTTTAAAGGTATTTTTAGTCAGCACGATGGAAAGAACCCAACTCTCATTTTGGGGGTATGTACACTATACAGCCCTCTTTCACTGTCCACAAAAACCAAAGCAAAATGTAGAGGAAAGCTTCAGGCTGGAACGTGGCTGGACAATGCACCGTCCACACAGCACCTTACTGGCCCAGCCTGCACCGGCCCAGCTCTGTGTCCCCAAACTGAAATCCCACTGGGTGCCATGTTCAGAAGTCATCCATGGTGCTGAGGAGTACACCTCCTCCTGTTAAGGGATAGCCAAGCTTGAACATCAGTGTGCTGAAGTTAAAAAAGACTATTTTGTTAATTATGCAAAAATTATTTTTCTCCTTTGATGTCTTCTGGTGACTCCAAGAGCTTTTTAAAGTAACTGAACACAAAACGGAGTCCAACATGCACTGTGCATTTGAAATGGGTGACTTGTTGTTGGGCCCAAAAGGCTTTGCTGTAAGATTTGGGATATTGCTAATGTCGGTCTATAAAGATGGACACGCTCTCTGTTATGTTACCCATAGTTTTCTTGAAAATATAAGCAAATGGAAAAAATGAGGACAGAGGAGGAGCATGAGTGGCGCTGAGGCAGGCATTGCTAATGTCCCTGAGCCATGGACTGCCCTGGATGGATCCCACCATCACTCAAAGTGGCCAAATCCCTGATTGCGCAGAACCTTCAGCTTTAATACAAGTGAAATGGGTGAGTTCTATAAAAACTCACACCCCACAGGGCTGATGAATTTGGCAGGTAGCTTTACAGATCAAACTGTTTCTGCACCAGGCTTTAGACGTATGCTTCTGCTGTAAAGTTGAACATTTTAACATGGACTCCATTCCAGGAGCTGCAGTTTTTACCAGCTCCATGTCAGCTTCATTTCATGCCCAGATGTTGCCTCACAGATGTTATGTGTGGATACCAAACTGGTTAACGTGTGTATGAAACACAACATGAACACACCTGCTCTGTTGACATTTTATAGGGATGCTGTTGAACTAAATCCTATCCTGAGACCCTGATCAACTCTTAATTTACAGCTGCTCTGACAGATGTCAAATCCAGTTTATTGTCATGGTGCTGTACGTCCACAGCAGTACAGGCAGAATGAGAGAGCATTTCTTTAGGATCCAATTACTAAAAACAATTTAAATAAAGAAGTGTTGGCATATCTGGATCAGCAGTTCCCACAAGCTGCTTGGAAAAATCAGAAACTCTCTTGTGTCTGCTCATCAACTATTATAGGTGTCCTCTGCAGGTCTGTCCTGTCTGAAGAAAAGGATGAAGCCGGTCCATGCTTTACACTTGGAGGAGGTCCAGTATTTCAGCAGAAGAACGGCCAAAGTCGAACAGCATTAGCTTCAGGCTGCCGCTGTGAACAAGAAACCGTGTTAAACCTCCACCATCTACTGATACAGGCCGTCGCCTCTCTGCTGGGGAAGACCACACTGATGTGCACTGATTTTCACCAACCAGAGAGCAAGCTGCCACATCTGACCCAGGCTCCTGGTCAGCAAAGGAAATGTGAAGCTTTGACAGTAGTGCTGGTTGGGGGTTGAGCAGCTGAACATCCCTGGGAACAAAGGTCGCTCTCCTCCTCTGACTCCTCATCCAGGTCCTGAGGGGAGCCATCAGACGCTGGAAACAGAATGTGTGATGGGTCCTGGAGAATCCTGGAGAATCCTGGTCTCTGGCCTCGGTTCTGCTGTTCACACAGGGGGCAAAGGGGCCTGAGTGGGAGTCCGATGATTTTAGAGCAGACCTTGACAGGTACATTTTGGTTTGGTCCCTTCGTGCAGTCTGGTTCCCATGGCAACGTGATGCATACAGTGTGTGATGCTGTAGCTCCACGGCTTCATTCAGTGATATTAGTGACACACAGCTCAGCATGTTAGCAGATAAACACATTCCCTCAACTGAGAATCTGTAAATTAGAAACTCTGATCATAACCTGCTCCGGACCAGGTTAGCTCCACAGCATCAGTTACCATGGAGACCAAGCTCCACAGCATCAGTTACCATGGAGACCTAGCTCCACGGCATCAGTTACCATGGAGACCTAGCTCCACAGCATCAGTTACCATGGAGACCTAGCTCCAAAGCATCAGTTACCATGGAGACCTAGCAGGTATAAAGGGAGCCTTTAGGCTTTAGACTTGTGGCTCAACATACCTGATAACCCAGCGGTCTTTCTGCGTAGTACAGCCCTCTGGTGTTTGGACCCATCCACTATCTGGACCTTCATCCCAGGGACGGTGCTGACAGCTGCTGCAGCAGCTCTCTCTGCTTGCTGGAGATTTAGCTCCAGGGAAGAATGATCACATCACAAACTCATGGAGTGCTAAGCGGCGGTGGTGTGATGGGCCTGAGAGCAGGAGAACCGCTGGTATGAACCACAGGGCAGAGGCAGTAAAACCCGTTTCAGAACACGGCCCACAGAACTCACTGAGACACTTTATATGCTGACTAAACACTGAGCACGGTCTGTCCAGCATGTAGAGCTGTGTAGGAAAGACGAAACCAGGAAGTGAACAATTCCCATCAGAGCAACTCCTGGGACAAGCGCTGTGAACAAGACTGTCAGCAACAGGCTTGAGCAGAGGATGTCGCGTTGTGCTGATTGTTGTCTGCAGCTACACCCGGCGTCCATCAGGGGGCGGTAATGCCTTCTGAAGCTGGACTGACAGCCGCCAGCCAGCAGCAGAAGAAGCTCCCCAACACGCTGCTGGGCCCAAACACTGACCGGTGCTGGTTTCTTCCAAACACGGATCGGAGCTGTTGCTGAGGAACATGTCCAGACTCCAGAGCCTGAAGCTGTTCATCCACCAGCGGCTCGCAGCCACCGTGGAGGAGGTCATCGGGCACCTGGAGAGGACTCTGACCGAGTACGAGGACCAGATGGAGTGTCGCCATTGCAGGCTGCTGGCTCCGGTGTCGGATCCTCAGCACTCGAGGAAAACAACAGGTTAGTTTACCAGCATGTGCTGCTATAGTTAACTAGACAACTAGACTAACTAGACTAGCAATGAGCTGCCGTTTAGGCGGACAGGTAGCAACAACACCTGGATGTCTGACAGCATCTGACCCAGCCTGGTTCAGTTATCTGATGTCTGTGTCCAACAGAACCGAAGCTAAACTTCAGCTGAACCACAAAGTGAACTGTGTGGGTGTCACAACCCTGACCCGCTCCTGTTCTGATAGCAGCGTCTCCATCGAACCGTCCTGGTGACTGACTGGTTTCCTGTTTCGGGTCACATCAGAACCGCTACTCGCTCCACCCATAGATCTGTATGATCAGGGCCTTTATTATTCATGTCTGTCACCTCCCGTCCCGTCAAACACACACTTGTCCCGTCGTTACGCTGAACGCTGCGTTCTGTCATGAATCAACGCTGACTCGGTTTATCCCGAACGTCCGAGTTTCCGTGAACGCACCACTCCAGCAGCGCCAGTGACGGAGGGAGTTACGTCACCTCCGGTTAGTTTTTCACAACAATGGCGGATCGTGGAGAAGTTAGCAGCTACTGCTAGCAGCACCGTGGTACTGGACCGGAACCGGTCGGTTCTGATGCACGTTTACAAGACAAGGATCCAGTTGGCACGTGTTTAAGCTGTCATGGGACTGTCCCTCTAAACCAGGGCTTTAAGGAAGTTAGCTAACCTGCTGCTAGCTCTGTGACGGTGCTGATTTATCTCTAATCACTTCCGGGTTCTTACCGGAAGACCTTCTGCTGCAGCTTCACCGGTTCTGAATGATGACAAAGAAAAAACAGGAAGTTGTTTTAAAACTCACAGCCAGCTGTAAACAGACACCCCACGCCTGGGCAGCAACCCTGAGCTCTGACACTACCTGTGTATGAGAGTAATCCTGACAAACATGTAATCTATTACTATATAAAGACTGCAGTGAGTGCACTTCTCATTACGTTGTGTGTTTTCATACCTGTGAAGAACGTTGTGAAGGTGTTTTTGAAAAGTGCTGTAAAATAAACTTTTAGAAAGGACTTGACCTGAAACGCTCTGATCCTGATCCGAGTGAGGGTTCTGAATGAATGAGTGACGGTTCTGAATGAAGGAGTGAAGGTTCTGAATGAGTGAGTGATGGTTCTGAAGGTGAGGGCAGTGAGCTGATCCAACAGGGACCGTCACCCTCCAGCCACTACAGCTGTGTTGAAGCAGCTTTTCATTCTGGACCCGTTTCCACTCAGACGACCAAGAAGACGTTCTCATCACATCAGAGCCAATAGAACTGCTCGTTCTCTGGTCAACAGGACACGCTGCTTCCTGACTAGCTGGAGCTGAAACCAAACTCCCTGTCCAACCCAGGATCTTGAGTGCCTGGTACCGTCCCTGTAACTCAGAGGAGCCTCCATGGAGCTGGACCTCTGCAGTGTGAACCCTCCTCATCCTGCAGCCTGGCTCTGCAGCATTTCTCTGCTCCTGATTTGACGTAAACCAAACATTAACCTTCCCAGCAGGGCCTTGTTTCAGACCCACAACCTCAGGGTTTATTGTTGTAGTTTGCTGTTGCTGACTTCAGCCGACAGTTGGTCCACTCAGTGTCAGTGGAAAACCGAACCTCAGCGACCGTCAGCCACCGTCAGCCACCGTCAGCCACCGTCAGCGACCAGAGCGTCATTATGCAGCAAGTCAGAGTGGAAACTGTACACAAGGACCACATGGGTCAACTTGACCCACTGGTCATCAGAGATTAATTACTGCAGTAACCAAGTGCACAGTAACAAGACAAAAGGTTCACAGAAATATGACGCTTGCAAGAGTACAAACACACATTTTTATATATACATATATATATATATAATTACTGGTACCAAAATGAATGTCTAGTGTCAGCTAGAGGACGAGGTTCATGTATACATGTGTGCTTGTGCAAGACGTTGAACAGTAGCGTCGCCACTAAATGATGGTTAGGTTTACATTTTGATTTGTTTTTATATTCTAGTATTTATAGTATTTTTTTACATATAGGGGCTGCA